AGTTCGTCTTCCTCGCCTGGGCGTGTTTTATATTAGAATATTTTTATTACTCAGTGGAAAAGAAAGGTTAAAGTGTTAATGAAGATCAAACTTTCAAATAGACGCCGTAGTGAATAGAAAAGCCACTCATCGTGATGTTGCGTGCGGGACTGCCCCACGCGTTGTTTTCGTGGAGTCGCGAGCAAGACACACCCCGGGGTCAAAATATCATTTTGAAATAGGGCGCCAGGTCACGCGTGATAGTGAGGCATTCGTCCTTCCGGTTCATCTTTGGCTTTTTGAAATTTATCCAAAACGCCTCAAGAGTTTTACGCGTTGATGTTTTCGATTCCTGCGCTAGGATCCGCACAGTCACTTCAAAATCGTCGTCGTTGTGCTTTTGTGCCCTATACGTACCTAGAGGAGTGTTTTGACGTATTTTAGCTTTCCTATCTAGATGTTCTTTTATGCGGACACAAAGTGGTCTACCCGTTTCCCCGATATATTCCTCGCCGCATACGTTACATGAGATCAAGAATATTATACCTGAACTCATGCAATCTCCGTCTCTACCGTTAGGACAGATCATACAGTTTTCTGAGCTGCACAAACGATCACAGAGACGGTTTCGAACTAACTGGCGGCGTAGGGTATTGGGTGGGATGTCAGTAATCGTTACATAATTTTCAAGACCACTTTTTCATAAGCACGTTTTAATGGCGTGACTTACTTCATTTGATATGAAGGGTAGCTTAAAGGGGATCTTACTTACGCCCGAAATATTATTTTAGGAAACTACCCTACGTCTTTGTCTAACCAGAGTGGCTTCTACTTCGTAGCCATTGGAAAAGGAATTTTTCGTGTTTTAATAAGCAAGTAAAGGACAGGGCAAATCGGGTGTTCGTTTTTAAGTCGAGAAATAACTGAAGGTTCTAGGCCCGCGACCTCATCTTCTTGATTTCCCGACCTAGACAGACGAAGATGGAACACTTGGAGATATTCAACCTGTTCAGCGTGAATGGGACATACGAAGCCAATTTATTCCTCATGAACATCGTGTTCGTCAGGTTTAGTCGAAGGTCAATATTTTCATATGCTTTATTAAAGTTGGGAACCATTCGTTCCGCTTGGTTAATGTTTTATGTCACTCAGAACGATGTCATCAGCAAAGCAACAAAAATGTTGTAATTGGTTATCATCAATTTTCACTCCCATGCTCTCTCATTTCATTGTTCGCAAGACGTTCTCGGGAGTGGCGTGCACAATTCTGGCAAGGTGACATCGCCCTACCTAGCCCCTCTTTTGGCGTCAATGTTAATATTGTTGTAATATGGTGGTATTCTGTTTAACCTTTTATCTACAACCTATTATTTAGGGTATTACTTGAAATAAAACCACATTGATGCGGAGTTGTTTGCAAAAACTGGACCCTAGGCCAGATTCGAACCCGCTATAACCCGTCACAGATGAAAAGTTGAACAATTATGATTTCGACTACAACCTTAGTTTAACTTGGTTCAATGCCGATTTGTGCTCTTCCCATGGACTAGTTAGTGTTGATGAGAACATGGTTGAGAGAAAGCCAAGACATGAGCGTCTGAGGTGCCGTGAGCAACACGTAAACCCCATTAAAAGGTAACCGTCTGTTGATATCTGGCCAAGAGTCAAAGTTATACAGACAATTCTCCATCATTGTGGTGATATTTTTTGTAGAGAAAACTTTATATAGCTCATGAAGAATCTTTATATACGGAGTAGGGACACCGTTGCTGTCCAGTGCATCCATGACTGCTTCTGTCTTAACTGAATCAGAAGCTAACTTTACTTAAATCAATGAAAGTGAGACATACCGGCCTCCTTTACACTTGCGATACCTCAATGATTCTTGTTATTGGGTGGATGTGGTTTATCGCAATAAATCTTTTTCGAAATCCTGCTTGCTCACATGGCTGTTCTTCGTGCAGTGTTCTATCAATCCTGTTTAGGGCGACTCGAATTAACAGTTCGTAGACAACAGGAGCCAACCAGATTCGACGATAGTTGGCGTTTTTGTGGAAGTCACAGTTCTTAAAAAACGAAACAGTTTTGGTTCTCTTTCGTTAAATAGGGAAGCCTTCATTCTGACAAATAGTATGTGGAGAGCCGAGCCAGTGGCTTGTTGGTGACTGACAGAAGGGTCTTCATGCGTTCGGACCTGGCGTTGTTCGATTCTTTACTGACGATACAGCATGTTGAACTCGTAAGGAAGAACGGATTGGACGACGTATACATTTTTAACTTCTTTCGTATAAAGGCAAGAGAACACGGCTATTGGATAGTTTCGGGTAGTAATCACGAATGATTTTCTCGTTCGCCTTTCTGACCTACAATCGGCGAACTTTCGATGGGCATTGCAAATGTCTCACCCGGCCTATGCAACTTCCGCCACAACTGCTGTTCTTCGCTTTTTAAGCTTTTTTCTTTCGCATCTCTGTATTATTTTTCAACTTCGGACATGAGATAGCAATTGGCTTCAGCTCGTTCAAATCGACGTTGGCGTATCACCTCGAGTGTTTGCGGAAAGAGACGTCTCTTGGCGACTTTCGAACTCTCAGCTTTCCTAGGGCTAACGTGAAAATGTTAAATGAGCCAACCGTATTTTTCGTATACGTTATCGAGAACGACATCTCTCCAACAGCCGACTAATGAATTGAATAAGTCCCAGTTTACGGTGGTTCTGGGACTTCGGTTTTGGAATTTAGCGGCTTTTTCTCCTTTCCGCGAGAAGTAGAATCTTGCACGACGTAGGCGATGGTCTGATCCCGTGTAGAATTTTGGGACAACAGCGATATCGGTAAGGCAAAACCTTTTATTTACTATGATGTGTTCTATTTCGTCATGGTACTTTCCATTGGAAGCCTCCACATCCAGCGTTGAAGGTGAGGCTTCTGCAGTTGCGGGTTACCAGAAATGCTTTTGGTCGTTCATGATATATTTAATCAGCCGCTCACCCAGCTTGTTCCTTTCTAATCCGTGGATCCTAATACGATGTTCTACAGACGTTCTTCTAAGTACAATCTTAGCGTTGAAAACGCCGGTGATGTCCTTGTAGTCCTCTATTTAGAACTCCTTCAAGTCCACATAGAACGCTTCTTCTTGGTCTTAGTTTGATGTCAATGCATAAATGACGAAGATTGTCAAAATCGCTATTGATCCACATTTCTTTAATCGTAAACTTCGAGTTGTTAGTTGTTCGATTAAATCGATGTTCATGGTCAAACTCGTGCGAGAACGCCGATACCGCCAGTTCCTCCATTGTTGCATTGCTCCGAGAAACACTGCATTGCTCCTCGGTATCATAGAACGTGTTGAATGGGTGGTGTCTTCTCGTTTGAGCCATTCCCAAGAACTCGTGATGGATCTTTCGACGTCACCGCCTTCTATACAAACGGGTCAAATGACTCCGCTATGCAAAAGCCATACTCGAACTCCCTATACAAGAAGAAGAAATAAACATGTACGGCTTTATGGTTCATCAGTTGGGTAGTCATCTTTTCCAAAGAAGCATTCTCCACATTAATGAATGCGTATTCCATCTACGCTTACTCCTGCTACTTACAATAAACATTTCCATGTAAGCCTCCTCTAGAAATTGTACACTGTCAAATCAGTATTTTTGAGCTAAACTATTACTTTCATAATGCTGAGATATTTGCAAAACTCCGGACCGCAGGTGTCTGCAGTGGGGAACGAACGCGTTATTGTCCTTTCCGGGGACTAACGCGTTCACCACCACACCATGCGTGTCCTTCGTTTCGCCTGTCTCTCAGCTAGTTTTATCGATCACAGCAATCAGCAATCACCCGTCAGCGAGACAGGCGAAACGAAAGTCTCGCATGGTGTGGTAGTGAACGCGTTACTCCCCGGAAAGGACAATAGCGCGTTCGTTCCCCACCACAAACACCTGTGGTGCGGAGTTTTGCAAATATCTCAGCATTATGAAGGTTATATTTCGCAACCTACCCTGCCATTAAAAAGAATAGGCAGTAAATAGAAAGGTTAAGATTGTGACTAAACTATTATGTCAGCCATAAGAGTTTGAAATGTGTTCTCTTCACCAGGGCGTATCTCACCCCTTATAAATGCGCACTTTGATGGGCCTCCTGCAGACTACAAACACGTTTGTAGAAGTCTCCTCGTTGACGAAGGAGTACCTCCAAACTCGAGTCTTTAGTATTTGCTTACCAATAAACAAACTGGTTCTCACGGTGGAAATCAAAACAAACGAATTAACTCGTCTGGAAACGACTGCTAGTAGAGCACTAAGGTCACCCATCTACGGTTTAGATACAGTTTAAACACGTGTTCGACAAGATGTCGATTCACTACAAGAAGTGTGGCAAAAAAGCTCAGTGTGTTGGAAATAAGCCAGACAGAAGCGCGCATTGTTGTTAAGGTGTACGGTTCGAAAAGTGTGGCAGCGGGTATACCTAAAACGATACGTATGAATGTAGAAAGGTTAAAAGTCAACCGTATACTTGCATTTGTACAACGGAGACTTCTTTCTATCTCACCATCTGTGACATTCTTGCCAGCAGAGAAGACATTGTACGCCGTCAGATGAAATAATCTCCGCAGCGGCAGGGGCAAAAAAATGAAAATTTTCTACGAATTACCCAGCGTAGAATGCAAATTCTCTTAAACTACGCTTAGCACAGAATAAAGGTTATCGAGTAGGTAGGAAAAGTATAGCGGACTACATTAAGATCAATCCGCACTGCCACAATATATGAACCACAAAAGTTACGCAGAAACTAAGCAGTGGCGTGAGTTTGAATCACTGACGTCGACAATGGAAATTTAAATCGAGATTCGTGAAATTCATTGGATACAATGCGGTAGCCTGACTATTCAAGAAGTCTGTAAAATTTCCAACGTTTCATGACTATTTAGTGGTTAGTATTAACACGTCTGTTGCATCAAATGTTGCCGTTGACAGACAGTTCCAGAGGCGTGAAAAATTGCGTAGATTTACACTGAATTCAAAAATCAGGGCTGTAAAGGACGAAAATGTTAGACGTCGTGCTTCTTCTCATGTGTGACTTATTCCAGTTATGATTATAAAACCCCTGGGTTACAAAAGGCCATAAAATTTTATCTGACAATCACAAAAAATGAAAAGTGAAATGGATTCAATAATACAATCAACTTCTTCATAAGACTATATAAAGCACTGCTAAAGTAGTGGACGTCTTCTCTCCAGAACAACGTGGATACCGTCAGTAGGGCGAAGGATTATTCCGACTTTACTCCTCATCTAAACACAAGTAAAAGTTAAAGTTGTAAACTTGTAAAGTTGCTTTTAGCAAATCATTTCTAAACGCAAGAGCTAAGCTCCTGTGCTACATAGAAGGAAAATGTCACATGCTAAGAACTTACATGATATCTTTTCTGTAAGGATGTCACATTGAAGTGGCGCAAAACCCACGAAACGATAACTTTTTCTTCCATCATGGCAAATCTAAACAGTAAAGGTTATGGCATACTTTACAATGGGGCAACTCCAGTGCCACTTGGTTCTTCAAGGACGCTACATTAATCAATTATGAACGAAAGATTCAGACTAAATTCCAATAAAATTGATTTTCTCCACCTGGACACTTAAATAAGCTTGTTCAAGTAGATAGAACATTGTGATTTCCAAAATAGTAGCATCAACAAAAACTTTGGAGAAGGCAAACTGATTAATTCACTGCTTTATTGGTAAGCAGACACGAGGTTATTATTACACTATTTAATCACAAAAGCCGGTTTTCAGGGAATTTCGTCGTCTTCATGGACTGGAAACGTGAAGTTGATTGCAATCTGGTCATCTAAGCACTTCCACGACCTCAGTAGAAAACACTCAACAGCCAATTTTTAATTGCATTAGTAACAGCATTAAACAGCCATTTTTTCTTTATAAGCCTTTCAATTAATGATGAAGATCAACAGCAAAAAGGCGTCTTCCTCCCATGCAATTGAAACTTAGGTTTTGAGATTTTCTGCTGAGGTTATGGAAGTGTTTGTTTCACCAGATATCAATCAACTTGGCCCTTCCACGCTCTGAAGGTGAAATCCGCCGAAAGGTTAGAAATTGCTAATAAATAGTGTATTACACGTGTCTGTTCATCGAGAAAACTTTAAATCACCGATCAGTGCCGAGGTTAACAGCAAATCTCCTCTGGGAACAAAGTGACTATTTTAAAGACCACAATATAGCTTATCGTAATTAAGGAAATGTTTACGCTCAGAGTTGTCCAAGAAAGCAAAGTGGTGTATAGGCTAAATGCCTAATTTCCAAATCAGAAAGCTTATTACAAATTCAAAAATCGTTTCGAACTTGTGACGCATCCAAATTTGAAAATGCAAACCTTTGGCCCATACAATTACGGCTACCGGCCGAAAAAGGAATGAAGGCAAACGCATGACGTCCGACGGCGTTCTCAGGAAGGAATCTGTAAAAGTAACTTCTACGGAAAAATAACATCTGACTGTTTAATGCCAATATCGTAAATAAATATCACCTGTCAGGATTAAAATCTTCTGGATCTTGCCAGTATGTAGGATCACGATGAACCAAGAATTGATTGATGACCAGCTGAGTACCCTTCGGTACGATAACGCCTTCTATCTCTTGATCTTCATTCAATTCACGCATTATCATTGGAACTGAAGGATATATACGCAGAGACTCCTAAAAGACGATTTCCTACGACAATTCAACCCAGACCCTTGTGTACCAATAAATGTCAACATCGAATTTATTATTATTCTCATACTATTAGCAATTAGTTTTCCTCTACCGCTTCTCAAACATTCCTCAAACAGGTCAAATCTCCCCACACTCCCTCGAATAGAGAAAAAATTAATGAAAATATAGTCGAAATTTGAAATAGAAACAAAACTGTGCATAAGATCAGTCAAAAAGACTAACGGAAGACATCAAATTTGTACTATGAATAGAATTCCAACAAGCCCGCAGTCTGCTTCAACATAGAATTCCAACAAAACCAGTAGTCTGCTTCAACTGGCTAACCTAAGAACATTAATGAAACCGGGTGGCACATGGAAGCCATTGAGAATCTAATCCGTACTAAGTGCATCATTGAATCCACACAACAAAGGATAAAGCCCTCAGCGTTGATCGATCCCTGAGGGATGCTCCATGCATTCGACTTTATTAACTATCGTTTGGCTGCTATCCTCGCAGACAAGTCTAGTACCAATTTTCCGACCCCGGATGGACGGAAGGTTTGGTGGGCTTTGGGCGCGGAGATCGATTCCACGAGCGTGTGGAAGTGGCGCCTCCAACCACTGCGCCACACGCGCCTTTGTCCCCGAAAGAACGTTCAATCCAGGAGTGGGATATAAATGTGACGATATCAACCGGATTGATCAACGCTTTCAGCCCTCTGCGAAGCAATATTTCTCAGCTTATCGACGAAGAAAGTGGTTCTCAGCAGCACCGCTTTTTGTTCCTCAAATTCACTTACGCTATTGTTTATGTTTATTCGTTGAATTCGGATCCTGTCACACGCTATAAAACACGACACAAACGAGTGTATTGAAGCTCAATTACAATGTAATTAAGAATTCGTCCCGTGCCGTTCCGTGCTGGATCGATAACCAACAGAGCTTTGCATTCCATATGGGTTCAAGTTAAAGAATCCGTTTAAACAATAAATACTGTTAACATGAAGCGTAAATACTAGACACTGCTGAAAGCCTAATCTTTAAGCTATGTCTCCGTTAGTGATAAAGAAAACGTGGCCCTACAAAATTGGTGCCAACGACTAATTATGTCCAGCCAGCATGCGGAAAAACGCCCACTTTTCGGCCATCACGGGGTTGCCAGAAATTTATCAATAACTGTAGGAAACCTGAGATGTTGACAACAAGACAGTGAAAAAAAATGTTGTTGTATCGCTCTAGGAGTAAGTATGAAATGAGTGCTATATTTTTACCTACTTTATCCTATTCGAACCATCTTCATATTTACTACGCGGATTCCAGCGCTTCACGTATTCGTTCCCTTCCGCCCCATCGATATCAACGAAGGCCTCTGAACTTTTCACATAGGTTCGGCTACTACTTGAGGATTGCTGTCTTCTTCATGAACATCGTTGAATGCTGGTCGTTTCGATTCTTCCTCGAGCCTTGGCATGGCTGCGCTAGAGCGTTTCTATGTGGGTTTCAGAGAATAAGCTGGGCACAGGCAAGTCTGGTGCCAATTTCAGCAGTTCTGAGGGATGAGATGCTTGGTGAGCTCAAGACACCCCCAGCAAGTACCATCCTTGTGATGAAGGGCTTCACTACCTTTCCACTGCCGAGCCTTTGTATACTATATTGCTTCGTCTAACCTATACTTTAATAATGTCTTTTGCCTATGCTACATTTACTAAATATTACTAGAGTTCATCACACAACCTCACTGCTGTCATCATTTGAAAGTGCACTGCAGCCTATGCGGAGTTTATTTTTCTATTTTTCCCAAGCGCACTTTTCGTAAATAAACCATGACTTATCACAGTGATTAGAATTGAAACGACACTCAATTATTACTCAAAATATCGGCCGCAAAACTGCCACTTACTAAGGCGGCATCAACAATAGTAGCGAGAGGGTCATTGATGCTACCGATCACAGCATTGTTTATGGAAGAACTACACTACAAATTAATTGGCTTCGATAGAAGGAATTACGCACCAGAAAAGTAAAAGATAAAATGCCTACTGCACTTTTAGGGAAGAAAAACTTTAACTACAACTTAATCGCGATTAGTAGAAGTCACCCGTTCTCTAAACAAAACACCTACAGTGCGATAATTGCGGCCCTTTACATATTTTTTTTGGTATGAATCCATCCATCTATTTCACTATCCCACTAAGCAGAGAGCGTCCGTCCTGGTAAACAATTCCCATTACTAAAATCTTTTTATTTTACATAACCCTTCACCACATCTACTATGCGGATCCCAGCGTTCCTTTCATCCGACTTGTTATTCCACACTCATCGTCCACGAAGATTTTCGAACATTTTTCGTTTCGTTTCAGCTACTGCTTGAGAATTCCGTCTTTACTATGAATGTCGTAGAATAGTGGTCAAGTCGATTCTCGTTGCAATATTAGGTATAGCCGTGCTAAGACGTCCACATGTGGATTGGAAGAGAGTGTTGGGAAGGGGCTCAGACTAGTGCGCTCGCATCCTGATCGACAGCGTCACCAACCACTGCATTACCTTCCACTATGCTCACTTGGAAGTTATTACATGAATCCCTACATAAAGAAAATGCACTCTTGCATTATAAATCAACATGTAGCCGAAAGTTTATCACAATTTTAAGTTTCCATAGTTTTCCATTTTGCTTCAGTCAATTAGAAACTAAAAAATGGGTTCGATCCTTGCTTACTGTTCTCCTTGGTACAGCTCAACTATCCTTAACCCTACGCTAAAATTTGTATACATTTACTTGGGATACACTGGTTGTGCGGAGCCGAACATAATTTCAACTTCTTTGGAGTTTTTCTAGCTGAGCCACCGTGGTTTCCTGAAGTCCTGGAGTCAGCCTGGTCAAAGTCTACCCAAAGTCGTCACCACCACACGCAGCAGCCGTTCTTGTGGATCAGAAGCAGATTTGCCACCATGCGACTAACTTGATACCAGGACGGCGGTGGAACCCGATATCGGTTTACTCTTAGCTAGGCTTCCTGATGGAAACGCCGGGTTCCTTCTTAGTTTGAGGAACCCCGATCGGAGGATGAATTCTCTCACTGTACACCGCAGCCCTACATACAGGAACACCTCCAAACCACGCTGAAACAGTAAGCTGTTGGAAAGGAAATTGAGAGAAAATCTGTATATATCCTATCTAAAAGATTATCAGGAGGTGGACAGCACAGTGGTAGTGATGCCTGTCACCAGAAGCAAGGTTCTAGTTCGATTCCGCTCCAGGCCAACCAAGTCTCTCATCCCTCCAGGGTCGGGAAATTGGTACCGGACTTGTCTGGGAAAAATCACTGTCTGAAATCTAATTAAGAACGCTCCAGTCCGACTATCCCAGGACTCCAGGGAGAATTGCTGGACCAGCATTCTACTACATTCATGATGAAATGAGAATCTTCAGGCAGCAAGCGAAGCCACAAACAAAGTTGGAAGATTATCGTCGACAATGGATGCGAGGAAACGAATTGAATGCGCGAAGTACTGGGATCTGCATAGTAAACGTGAAGACGGGTCAAATAAAAGTAAGAAATAAATAAAAGAATATCAACAGCACGGTGCTCTCACAACTAAAACAAAAATACCTTGCAAAGATTGACAGCATTTTCACAACAGATCAGTACCCACATCAGCCTGGAGATGGTTCTTTAAGTTCCAAAAGGAAATATATAACATCAATATGCTTAAATTGCATAGACAAACATTACACTATAGAGGAGAACTACCTTTACACCGATAAAAACTACACAATTTCAACAAAAACTAACGGTGATAATGTAGAACTGTTACGGATTCTAGATTTTAAAAAATGTCAATTAAACTATGTACTGTGCACGAAATGTTGAATAGATACCCTTCTCGAGAAAATAACCTCAATAGACATTAAGAATTAATAAGGCGGCTATATGAAAACGAATACCACGAAAAGAGAGGTAGATTTGACGCTGACAAAAATGGAAAGGTCAACACACCTTTAAACAACACTCCAAATATTTAAGATATGGAAGGTGCTCCACTGTAACGTAATCGTTTTCGCCCAACACTTCATCAATTTCCGCCTATAAAACTATACAAAAGTATTCATAAGACGACGTGCTATGGTAATTCCACAATGCTTTACTACTCATGTAAACGGTCTTCACAAGAAGTTTGATTAGTACATTAGTTCCCGTGTGGTTCGTGCATGTACGATACGCAATCCTTCTGGAAACAATGTATCCTTACGCACGCAGCCATGTTTCTTCGAATTCCTGCATAAGTGTCCTCATGATAAAAATGTTTTTTGAGTTTCAGAATAAAAACGTCAAATTCTTCTCCGAACTGGCTGACCCTTTGAGAGGAGTTACTTCTTCTACACGCCGTCACGTATCAAGATTATCCTTCCCCCACAGTAAGACAGTGGGTGACAACTGAGAGGAGTAGATTATTTTAAAGTTGGGATAAGAAAAAAACACCTTTGACAAATAAAAATATCATAAAGAAGAATAATATATATAACATACACCATACAAAGTTATACCATATTTTTAAATTGTCCAATACAACATCATGTCATAACTTCTAATTGTCCCAAAAACAGATTCAATTACAAAAAAGTACTGCGTAAAAAACGACAGCGAGCAAAGACAGCTGAATACACTGGAAAGGAACTACTCGCCTGTGCTTTTCTCTGAATTTCAGGATAACAACCGAGAAGATAAAGTGCCCAGCTTGCTCCAGTAGACGTAGTGTCATGTCCAGCGAACATAAGAGTGTCAACCTAAAAGCAAAACCATAAACTCATTAGTCAGTCAACAAGAAATGAGTTCCAAATGAGGTGGCGGCAACCGCACTCCATGACTGACTCCACAGTGCAAATAAATTAACAAATGTATATATGTCATGTAGGACACATGAACATAATTATAGGTATTTATGTACTCAAAATTAGGAAAAAAGTAGGCCAATTAAAAGTGGTAGGTCAATGTGCAGATCCCACCCCTTCTCAAATTCTATTTGCTTCCTCGCATCCACCATCCATGGTCTTCGAACACTCTTGCGTGTGGCTTCAGCTGCTTTTTGAGTATTTTTTTGATTCGTAACAAATGTCATGAAAGGCATGTCGAGTCGACTTTCGTTGGAATCATTAAATAGCCACGGTGTGGCACTCCCATATGGAATTCCAGAAAAATTTGGCGCCAATTCCCCGATCCAATAGATACGAGCGGCTTAGTAAGCCCAATGCGGAGTCGAACCAGAAGCGTGCTCATAATAATCGACATCACTACCATCGCGCTATCCGCTTCTTCTAGCAATCAATTATTGGTCAAAAGTTCATTCTCATAGGCATGATGGCAATTATCGAAGTGATGTAAACAGAAATGTTTGCTGAAAAACTGGTTCTATTAAAGAGCTTACACGTGGTAACTGATAAAATAAAGAATAAAGCTCTCGGCGCTGATCCATCCCTGAGAGATGCGCCACGCATCTTATTTCATTAAGCATCGCTTGGAGGTGATTGAATGCATACCTGGCCTTTACAATGACTCGCGGTGGCCTAACGATGTATCGAGTCAATGCTGCTATCCTTCCAGACAAGCCTGGTACCACGGTTACACGTGGTAGTTACAAAAATCTCTTCGTAACAATTAACGTTCTGGCGCTTTTGCCTTTTTGAAAACCGCAGTAATCCGAATGAAGTGTCTGTCTTATGATGTGGGTAGCCACAGTTGCAAAGAGTCGAGTCGAGTGGAACACCGCACCAAAAAAGTGTAATTCATCTGTTAAATATGATGAATACATCCACTTATGATCTGCGCTGTTTGATAAATGAAGCAAGACATTTGCCCACAGATAATTGTTGCACCAATATCTTAATCACTTAGAGTTTGTGAAACAAGAAGAACAATTTGATCCACATGTGCGCAAAGAGTAGAAAACATTTCTTCAACAAGCAATAGATCAGAAGCAAAACAGAAGAAAACCGAAGCCTCAACAAAACCGATCATTCCCACCACTCATCAAACCCTCCACCTATTCGAAAGGTTCAACGTAGCGTATATTTTCGTGGATTTTTTGAATTTTTCGAAAAAAAATAACAAGTTTTAATTGCTCTTCATAGTTTAGATATCATCATGCTCCTTCCATCTAGTTTATGGAGGATACTTTCTATCACACATCCAATCTTCTCTATCTCGTTTAAACTTACGCTTCTGCTTCTCTCACACCAAGTAAACCACACACAAATATAAAAAAGGATAAAGCTCTCAACGTTGATCAACCCCTGAGGAATGCGCCATGCATTTGACTTCATCGAGTATCGTTTGGAGGTGATTGAATGCATATCTGACCTTTACAATGACACACGGTGGCCTACCGATGTATCGAGCCAGTGCTGCTATCCTCCCAGACAAGTCTGGTACAAACCAACAATACGCCACGCAAATATAAGGAAATCGAATGAAAGAAGTGCTGGAATCTGCATAAATTGCGATGTTGGGACAAGAAAAAAAAGTTGATTAGATAGAGTCTAAGTAGGTCGAACATGACTCCATAATGTGTCATAGAGTCCATTCGCGGCTTTCTACAAGGTGCTAACGGCCTGCCAATCTTGGATGCATCTCTAGATAATAATTTCTTAAACAAACTATCGCAGATTTGACCAATAACTTGACAATAGTAGTGGAACGCTCTTTTGGAAGAGAAAATGTGAGGAGCTCTTATATAACATCCAGTTTCAAATATTCTACACGTACATGGAAAGAATAAACTAGAAGAAAAAACTACAGCAACACGCAAAAAATTGTAAAGTGCTGGTCTCAACTGTGAGTGAATATCCGTAGGATCCAACAGGCCTTGACGTGCTAAATCGAGCATTAGGTCTAGAAAGGCAAGACGTCCATTGAAGCGCCAACCACCCTCTTCTAATTCTTCTCGCCGCTCCGATATCACCTTAATAATAAGAGTTAGTAAATCGTAAAATAACAGCAGTAGCATGAAAATATGAGGAAATCAATCAAAAGTCCGAGCAAACTTGATTCGCTGATGAGAAACAGTTTGAAGACACCTACAGATTGAGTGAATGAGTGGAGAATATCTAAACACTTCTTCTCTAGCTTGCCGTTTCCAAATCTGCAGAAGAACATGAAGTATTTAAAGATTCAATCCAATCAAAGCCAGATAAACGAAAATCTAGTTTGATAAAAGTAGAGGTTATTAAGCCATCTACTTACTTTTCGTATATGAAATCGTTCCACATAATCGGATTTTTCGTTCGTTCTTGTACCAGATCATTGATAGTATGCACAGCCCACACATAATCACTCTCCTATAAATCACTACAAATAACTTCTTAGAACCAAAGAATTGTTTAAGTCTTGAGGACGATGGAAATAACGCCGGAAAGCAGTCAACACACCTTATCCAACTGAGCGTTTATAGTTCTTCCCATGGAAGTTTCACATATAATGTCTAATCCACATAATGTAATTAAAGATAACAGTTCCACTGGTTCCCTAGAGAGATTAATTTTTGATGAGAAACTCACCTCTAAACAATTGCGGTAAATATTGTGTATAAAATAGTCTTCAGAACTAAAATATTTAAAATGCCCAAATAAATACTTCTTGGGAAGGTTCGCAAGCTTCCTCACAAGAATTCGTGATTGCTCATTGAAGATCGGAACAAAATCCTTAAGCATATCATAGTGGAACGTTGGAGTTAGAAGCTTTCGTTTAGGGCGCCAATTGTCAACACTGCTGTAAAATATGAACATTAGTATTAAAATGTCAACTTTTTATTCACTGCCGATTAGAATTTTTCACGAGAGGGTATTATGTGTGATACAACCACAATGGTGCTGAGATATTTCCAAAACTCCGGATCGCAGGTGTCTGCGGTGAGGACCGAACACAGTATTACTCTTCCCGGAGTCTAACGCGTTCACCACTACACCACGCGTGCCTTTCCCGTTCACGGCTAAACGCTGATGATATTGCTAAATAGAAAACTAGCTAGGAGGAGGGCGAAACGAAGAACCCGTATGGTGTGGTGGTGAACATGTTACCCCACGGAAAGCGTAAGCCTGTTCGATCTCCACCACAGACACCTGCGGTCTGGAGTTTTAGAAATATCTCAGCACTATTGGGGTTGTATCACACCTTAATATTAAATTCGACACGAATTTAAAGAAACCATGTCCTATTGACATCGCTGACTTGGTAAGACACTACGCAACTACTTCATCATTCGCAACAATGTCAGTTTTATGACACTTGGCAATAATTTTTGGGCTCAGTGACTACTTGAGAATCCTAGGGCATACCAGACTTGTAGTACAGATCTAAGAGCACATGACTGTTCACAAGTGTTCTCCTTAAATCTTTTTAGAGCTAAAGTGAAAATTTCTAAAACAAAAGTTTTGACTCAAGGACGTCAGTCGTCAGCCGTAACGACGCATTTCGTCATCGCATCTATTGAACGGGATCCCGCTTGTTCTGTCGTCGTTGCTCGTGAAACGAGCTTGGACGACAGAAAGTAAAAGAGGAATTGTCCATGAGATTTTCAAGAATAGACTTTCATTATGGTAGCTGATAATGAGCTAATACGCTGCTGGCAAAAGGCAGTCCATGCTAATCGCTTTCGTTTTAGTCAATACTTTCTCATGAAGTGAGATACGTCTACTAAAGTTGGGACACAAAACTATTTCCTACGACATATGCATTGAAATCAATGCATATCATGCGAATATATTGACGAAGCAGTCTAAACTCAAAGAAATACATCTCCGACTGCAACACTATAAGTGTTTTAAAATGTATAGAATCGACAACCTAGTAATGATTCCTTGCCCAAGCCATGGTTCAAGCAAATTGTAAGCGAATCCTTTGCCGAGGTGCTTATTGGATGTGAGTATCTTTTCGACGAGTGGAGCCGAATAGAGCATTAAGACGGGCATCGTCCCCATCCAGAACAACACCATACGTGGTGCATCCGGATACAAATAACCCATACCCATAACCTTAAACTAGGAGATATACGAGAAAAAAGTGATGTCATAGCTTTGTTCCAAAGGCTAAAAAGCAGAAACCAGAAGCACACCTGATTGATGAAACCCTCTGCATCGGGTTTCATTATCGATGCATGTCCAATTAAAGGATAAGATCGTGGAGAATTAATCTTCTGAAAATAACTGAAAACAATACGGAACGGAGAAAACGAAAAAGAAGGTGATTTGGTACTGTCGTCTACATGAGCGTAAGGATTCTAGCATTAAGGTGGTCTGGCAAGCGTAACGTTGCTGGAAATGTGGACTGACAAAATAACGGTAATAAAAGATAACGCTCTCCGTGTTGATCAATCCTCGTAGGATGCGCCATGCATTCGACTTCAATAAGTATCGTTGGAGCTGACTGAATTCATGTGGCCTTTACAATGACTCGCGGTAGTCTATGGATATATCGAGCCAGCGCTGCTATCCTCCCAGACAAGTCTGACACCAATCTACCGACTCCGGCGTGATAGACGGCTTCGTGGGTCAGGAGCACGGGGCATCGACCCCATGTGTGTGTTGCAGTGCGCCTCCGACCATAACGCTACACGGGCCCATGAAATGATAAACTGACAAAATAACAGAAAGATTAAAATAGAAATAGAAATGAAAGAAAAGCAGATACAAACCTTCAGCCTTCTTCGTAGCAATAAATGCTTGGCGACATTGTAAATGAAGTAAATGAATAGAAACACACAAATGACAGATGTGATCAGTCCCATTCGAAGAAAACTTGACTAAGCACCCAAACACTTATAGCACCCTAAGTACCTAAGCACTAAGAGTACCTAAATGTAAACAAATTAGCAAATGACTTAACAATAAAGTACTTTACTATTGAAGTATAAGCAATACATTGTGTAACGTAACGAGGAAACCTTACCAGCTTCGGTATGTTTAGTTCTAAACAATGTAGTATCTATCAACCTTAACGGTTTCTAACAGCACTTAAATAAGCGACCTGAGAAATACAATTACCGAGATCTGAGTTTGTCAGCAACGTTAAGACATTTCTGTTCCGGTTACAATTGACGACTTAAGCGATGAAAACAGAAGATGAGTTCGTATGAAAGCGTAGGACTTCTAATAGGTAAGTTAGAAAAAAGTAATAATAAAGTTAACATTTAGAGTAGTAGTAACTAGTTAAAGTAGTTAAGGTAGTTAAAGTAATAGTAATCTAAGTCTAGTAAATGTCAATTCCTAATTGCGGAAAAATAATTAAAGTAGCTAAGGTAGTAAAACTTAAAATAACTGCTAGAGTAACCTAAGTCTACTAAAAGTCAAATTCTAAATGTAGTGGCGCCAGGGCAGTGAATGTCGAGCAGTGGACAATTTCGCCCGCGGACTTTAAAGGACCGGTGAATCTGCCATAGAGCAAGCTTAGAACTAATTTGCAACTACCTTGTAAGATAAGTAATTGAGAACTTTGGAGTTCTAAAACCAAGACTTTATAACGGTTTATCACAATCTGCTTAGGAAATAAGTATTCAATAGGTCGATAAGAACTCACTGATCGAGCAAAGATATCTCATGACGGCAAATCAGTACAGCCCAACTTCCATTGTTGTATGCTCCACTCAGAAGGCGACTTCCATCTGAAAACAAACTGTTTCGCAACCGTTTCCAGAAAGCAGCTCGTGTTCCTGGATCTCATTTTTAGGTAGGCGAACTGCTAGAGAACGGTTCTATTTCGTTCTATTCTTCGCTGCTTGAAGACGGTCTCTATTTTTTACACTGAGATGTCTACGAGTTTCCCTTCCTGAAGCAACAGATCGTCTCCAGCTAGGTGCACAACCGTACAGTGCAAGCGCCAAACATCTACATCAATTGCTATCTGTTGAGGACGTTACCGTCATCTTGGAATGCTCCCTACTGCTTGTTCAGTCAGTCCATCCTCTCCGGCACTGTCCTCACCTCAGACATCACATCTGCCATCCGCTTTAAATGCTTATTCTGTTGAATAACGAAAACAGGATAGCTTTTCTACTTACTGTCCTATATTATTCTTTACGCCAGGGTTTGATGTGAAATACAACCACTTTGATGCTGATATATTCTCGAAACTTGGAGCCCAGCACAGATCGAACCCGTGATTACCCTTTCTGGTGCTCACATGTAAACCACTGCCCCACTGAGGCAACGCTTGTTTTGCCCTTCTCTCAACCAGTTTTCTACCTAACCGCACTTACCCGTCAACGGGAATGATTTGAGAAATAGGACAAATTTCTGAACCCTTACACACAATTTTTACTAAACTTTACCTGACCGAATACCCACTATAGGAGCAAGTCTTTCGACCTTGCTAAACTTCGTCCGCTTTGTATTCTTTCATTAATAAGCTAGCACGAGGTTGATAAATAAACTTTATTCGGGTAATATTTCGATGTCTTCGTCTTTCCCAGAGCCGATGATCTTAGTCGTCTTTCGCTTTGTTGTTTTCGACATAGTATTTCAGCTTCATCGCAGCAATTCTCCATCAGCGACTGCTAGTGGTTATGATTGACATTGTGCTTCAATGGCTATCTATTGGGTTATGACAAAAAATCGCTGAATTTTAACCCTAAACTACGAAGCACATACTATAGCCCGTAGTGAACTCAATATAGAGGCTATCGGAAGGTACGCGTATTCGTTAGCGGTATATATGCTCACTTCCATGATGGTGAACTTCCATGCTTCTTCAACACGGGAATTTTATGAAGACATTCTCAGAAGTGAAGATGGTTTTGTCGACCAAAACATAAGTTATTTTTCAAAAGAATTAAAGGGTGGAATTCGGCTGATGAGAAGTTTGGTGGATGAACAGAGTTTCATATCACAATTTAATCAAGTTCTCTACTATTGATTCAGCAACGTGTGATCGGTCACTGTCATGTAAGAAGATCGATCCATTTCGATAATCGAAGTCGATCTCAGATTTTGCAGTGGCTAGCGCATGTCACCGATACTCTGAGAGTGCCCCTTTGCCAGGACAATCTCCTCGCGATCCAGAAAGTTTAACAAGACCTCAATGAAAGAAAAAACATAATTAGAAACTCTCGGAACTGATCAATCCCCGAGGGATGCGCGATGCTCTCGACTTCATCAATCATCATTAGATATTATTGAATTCATATCTGACTTCTACAATGATTTACGATCTCCGATGTATCGAGTGAGTGTGGCCACACCACCAGTTTTGAAGAGATCGCTACCACCACTACTGCGAAGTTTTGTGGATTTAGTCACCTCTCGAGTAACATTTGAGTGGCTTGAGTTCGCACTTCTGTCTGTTATGTGGAATATACAGGCTGAAGGTGACACTATCTCTAAACGGCGTGTGAAATTCCTCAAAATGCACGTGCCTTTGAGATATTTGTATACTACTGCAGTTCTTATAGACAATTTCCATTAGCGGTCTAAACTTGTATGACCTGTTTTGTCGACCACATATTGCCTTCTTGGCGAAATGGAGGCTGGCCAACGAATTTTCAAAATGTTTTCACTGTATTAGCTTTTTGTTTGCTGCTTACTACAAGTTTTTATGGCAGGATATTATGCGAAATACAACCACAATGATGCTGAGATATTTACGAAACTCCGGACCGAAGGTGTCTACGGTGGGGAACGAACGCGTATTTATCCTTCCCAGCGGCTAACGCGTTCACCACCACACCATGCGGGTCCTTCGTGTCGCCTGCCTCTCAACTAATTCTATCGATCAGTGCCATCAGCAATCACCCGTCAGCGGTATTGCTCTGGAGAGCCCAAATCGGCATTGAATCCACTTAAGTTGAGGCTGTAGATGAATTCACAACATTAACCTTTTATTAGCTATTGATGGTGATTGCTGATGGAACTGATCGATAGAACTAGCTGAGAGACAGATGAAACGAAGGATCCGCATTGTGTGGTGGTGAACGCGTTATCCCTTGGAGAGGATAATAACGCGTTCTTTCCCCACTGCAAGCACCTGCGGTTCGGAGTTTTGCAGATATCTCAGCACTATTGTGGTTGTTTTCACTGTGTAATGTAACTGTAATTCCCATTTTCAAGGACGATTTTTTAATCTCATCTACCTTCGCCGCTTCCTACAGCACATCGTTCTCTACCGCACAGTTATTTTCTTTTTTGACAATCAGCTCCTAAATAACAGTCATAAATAGCTCATGAAATCTCTCAGTTTTCTGCAGCAAAGCGAAATTTGTGGCTCCATACTTTCATCTTCTTTCAATGAGAAGTGGATGAAGACCGAAGTTGAAGTCGTCGCCATCTGTCGGCTTCGTACGAGGGTACTAACACTTTACCAGCAAAATTAACGCAAAATGCAAAACGATTCGTTAGAAAGGCAAAGTCGATGACATCAAGTTAGAGATTTGTGGGTAAGAGTGAAACAAGGTAGAGCAACCGAGGAAACCAGATTGACGATAGCAACTGAAGAAAGCGATCACCTTGTATGCCGCCCAGGATGATCTTACAGAATATTCCTCAAGAGCGATGTAGTAATGACTCCAGTCTCTCTAGTGAAAAGTGCTCGAAGATCTTCACATTTATTAAGGCCATCATTTTTTCAGGCCATTAGTTGATCTCCTCATCGAATAAGTACTTGTGCTAAAGTAAGTTAAGCCAGTTAAGCCTTTAAAAAATCATTTCTAACTACCGTCGTCTAAAGATATCCTCAACAAGCTTAAGTTTCCTATTCTTTAATTTTTTTTAATTTTATACAACGCGTCTTCACGTTTTCTCCACGGTTCCTAGCACTTTTTACATACTACTCGTTTCCTCGCCAACCATCGTCCACGAAAGTCTCCCAATTTTCACGTGTGGTTTTGGATACCGCTTGAGGAATTTCATTTAATCTGGAACGTCGTAGAACACTAGTCGAGTAATTTCTCACTGAGTCCTGGCTAGAGCGTTACCAGCTGAATTGCAGATGTAGATTTCTTTTCTCGGGGAAGTCCGGTACCAATTTCCCAACTGCGGAGTGATGAGATGCTCGGTAAGTCCGGAGCCGGATCGAACAAGTACCGTGCTCATGATAACAGGCATCACTGCCACTGTGCTATCCGCCTCGTGTTTTCTGTTCTATCATTATCAAAGCTTAGTTTCTTCTCAAAAATTCGAACCTCAAAAAATATTATGAAAAGAAAACTTGAAAAAAATTATTGCACTCGTTCAGTGCCATAATGAAAAATCTTATCTAGTAGAATTTTGGAAAAAGTTCTCATGTCCTGAAGTTCAGTAGTTACCTAACACCATCGCCACTTATCAGAAAATCGACATTGTCTCGTATGCAAGTCAAATGAATTTCGATTCTTAGTCAACTACTCACTCGTTCTTGATTTCGAATTGTTGTGACGGGTCAAGGTTATCCAAAGAATGGATGAATGTAAAAAAGTGGCTGAGAGAAAGGCAAAACAAAGACCTCAGTTGTGCAGTGAGTAACATGTGAGTCCTCGGAAAGAATAATCGAGAGTTCGAATGTGAACGGATTTGGGTTTTGCAAATGTCTCAGCATCATTGTAAATGTAAAAACTCTAAAACTGGCTTATTTGCTAGATACTCCTGAATGTCGGTAAAATTGTAGTTGGATAGTGAACATTGGTAAAGTACAACATGTAGTATTATCAATAACCTCATCGTGGCTGGGAGGTGTTCCTGGGTGTCGAACTGCGATGTGTAGCGAGAGACTCATCCCCTGGCAGGGTCTCCCAAGCTGAGGAGGCTGGCGTTTCCATCAGGA